GCTCGTGGATGGCACAAAATCAGCAAGTTGGGCAGTGAAGCCTGTTTTGATAATTCTGTTCTTGAGTGTTGTGGTTTATTTGATTGTCTTACCTCCAGCTCCTGACACATACAGGAGAAAAGCAGTGAACCCACTCATTTGCTTTGGAGATGAGTAAACGCATGCTGAGCCGCTTTTGTTAGACTCAGCCTGTGCCATTTGGATGTGTTGGCAGAGTTTGGGGCAGCCCCTCACCAGACAGGAAATGAGAACCATTAGGTTAGAAAGAGAGCCACCCAAGTCCACTCGCTTATGGGATAGCGAATTACTCTCGGTACTGGGAACCATTCTGAAAATCATGCACCTGGCAGTTTTCATGATTTCTTTTTAATTTCCATGGCTTTTTGAGAGATACCATGTTATGAATATGTAACTCCCATGAATAGGAACAACTTATCTTTTTATATCGTTTTCAGAACACATTTATTCATTCTCTTTGGCCCTCATAACATTTTGGTGAGGCTGGAGGTATTGTTACTGTGTTTTTTTAGAGTCTCAGAACTCAAGTGATCTGTCCAAAGGAATGTGGCTAATAAATAGTATAGTCAGAAGTGCAAAGGGGAAGATATGGGCCCACCCTTCCTCAGGCTCAGAGGTGGGGAAGGAAGCAGGTATAAAATCTGATACCTGAGAAAATGGAGCTCCCTCGGCCCTTTGGGTCTTCTCATTTGCAGTGTCAGGGGACACGCCCCAGGGGCCTGGTTCCCCTCTGCCCCACAGCTTAGACTTGCACTTGTGGCCTGGGTGAGCATGATAGGGATTCTGGCCCCACCTTGAATGAGCTGTGTGCCAGGTGAATCACGTAAACTTCCTTGACTGCATTTCTTCTCACATAGGGAGTTGAGTGCAACTTGCAAATCCCCTTTTATTGCATAGAACAAGGAAGGACTCTCCATTTTTGAAGTGAGAGTACATGGATAAGGGTATATCAGCTTTTCTGGAGCAGTTTTTAAAACATTCTTCAGTTACTCCTATGTTTTCTTTATTGGAGACCCTTTTGTAACAGTAGAAATGATTTTGCTGAATTAAACTCTTAACTAGGAGGATTCTTCTGCTTGATCGGCTTTAAGGAGATATCGGTTTATGTGTTTAGCTAACATAGCTTGGCTTTTCTGCCAAGTCTTCATCTCTGTCTGTCTCCTTCACACATCTAGCTCTGTCCCTGCAGCCTTTCTGGTATTTTGTTCACAAGTCAGGGAGGAGAGTGAGGTTAACTTTTATGACTTTGTTTGTATACTTGTTGATACTTGCTCAATACGTTTAGAATAAATCTTGTTTTCTAACCTGCTATCATAGGGTTTCTCTGATTGTTCCCTTGCATCTCTTAACAAAAAAAAAAAGTGGATTTTCGCCTGTTATGGAATTCAGACTTCTGTTGGTATAAGTCAGCAAACACTTGGCCAAGTCTGGGAATGGGTCAGGCATAAAACACTACTTCCTGGCAGCGTTGTCTCCATAGATCAGTAGAACTCTTGTGGAGTTGATCAACCTGCTGACTTATTTGGAACTGAGCGAGAGGAACTCCAGCCTGTGAGCCCATGGCTCACAGCTAAAGTAGGATTGTGGGGCTATCTCATGGAGAAGACATTTCTAAACTCGAGGTAGTCAGAGCATCCTTTATAGTTTCTAATGTGAAAATAGCATAATTGTACAAATTATGTCTCAAACCCTTGGACTTATGGGAATGTTTGTTTCATGCTGCTGACCTATATTAGTGGCCTTCAGAAGATTGTAAATTTCCATCTAAATTGAAATGCTTTGATACATTTTCTGAATAAGTTACTTCCAATTGAAGATGAAAGCAAATAATCAGTTCCACTGACAAAAGAAGGGGACCATTGTCTGTGGTTGGACAACATCTTCCTGTACCAACTAGAAAGTGATAGTAGAATATACCTTAGCATTTTCTGAGTGGGGGTTGATAATGGAAAATGTTCAGGATTGTTAAGTAGAATAACTGTCCAGGGTCTTTTTTACACCTTGCTAAATGAGTACCTCTTTTGTTCTAGTGACAGATACAGCGATTCTAGTGATGACAGCATGTCAGAGCCAAGGACAGCTGAGGTGGAAATAAGCTGAAACTAATACATGACTCAGAATAACCAGGATGCCTGAGCAAGTAAGGTGGAATCCTCCACTTCTTGTTTGTCTTGCAGAGAAGCTGTCGTCCTGGTTGAGAAGGGAGCATTACAGGACTTGACTCACAGGATTCTGCTCTTTTGGGATTTGCTCTTAGTTGACTGGCTTAGTTAGCAGGACAGACTTAACAGCTGATTTTATTTTTGGGAAACTGGAATGCATCTGAGGAAGCTACCAGTTAGCAGTGACCCTGGGGAAATGGAGTGCACTGGAGGCCAGGGATGAATGTACAAGTGCATCTGTAAATGTGTAGCTGGAGGATGTAGTGGTTAGAGTTGTAATAGGTCAGGAAACTTGTTCTATAAAGGTCAGGCAGTAAATATTCTAGGCTTTGTGGGCCATGCAGCCTCTTTGGCAACTACTCCACTCTGCCCGTGGAGAGGGAAAGCAGGTTAGACAATACATAAATGAATGGTTATGGCTGTGTCCCAATAAAACTTTATTTACTAAAACAGTTTGTTGACCCCTGGCCTAGGTCACTCATGGAAAAGCAGATTTCCTTGATCTGTATAAAATAAAATACTGTTTTCTTTCTTTTTAAAGAGATGCCAGAGACTGGCGTGGCTTCTGAGGGCAGCTTCTTTTCCCTGCAGTTCTTATTTTATTTTATTTTATTTTGGTATCATTAATCTACAGTTACAGAAAGAACATTATGTTTACTAGGTTCCCCCCTTCACCAAGTCCCCCCCACATACCCCTTCACAGTCACTGTCCATCTGCATAGTAAGATGCTGTAAAATCACTACTTGTCTTCTCTGTGTTACACAGCCCTCCCCGTGTCCCCCACGCACTATACATGCTAATCCTAATGCCCTCTTTCTTTTTTCCCGCCCTTCTCCCTCCCTTCCCACCCATCGTCCCCAGTCCCTTTCCCTTTGGTAACTGTTAGTCCATTCCTGGGTTCTGTGATTCTGCTGCTTTTTTGTTCCTTCAGTTTTCCTTTGTTCTTATACTTCACATATGAGTGAAATCATTTGGTACTTGTCCTTCTCTGCTTGGCTTATTTCACTGAGCATAATACCCTCTAGCTCCATCCATGTTGTTGTGAATGGTAGGATCTGTTCTTTTCTTATGGCTTCCCTGCAGTTCTTTTAGGCTTTACTAGAGAGGATAGCAGGCTGGATAGCTTTATTAAATTCAAGCTCAGAGATGGATATTGCCTGGGGTAACCCTAGGGTGAGTGAGCTGCTCTCTTTAGCAGGACAGCAAATTTGGGAAACTTTGTGTGGAGTTAATTGTTCTCTTCACATTTCACTTAGGGGAAGAACATTCATGTTCACCGGGGAAAGCATGTCTCTATCTGCTTTCATTTGCCTCGAACATGGAGCCCTTTAGGGGCACCAAAATGGTCCAAAAATCAGCTGGAGGTACTTTAAAGATTTACATTATTCAGTTTCTGATGTTGCTAATACTTATATCCTTTTTTTAAAGGCCATGAAATAACTAAAGCCAAGATGAAGGAACTTTCTGAAGAAATCACCACACTCTTATTTAACTCTGTTTGCTACCAAACATGGGATGAAAAGTCTCCAAGGGAATCTAACAGTCTGGGCTTCTAGAACCAAAGGGGTAGTTTCCCCTTTCCCTCCAGAGGTGGCCTTTGGTTCTCACAAATTTTTGTAGCTGATTAAACTTTTCCCAACAACCTAACTGGGGAGAAAGTGTGCTCGTGTTTTATCCGGTGTGTGGTGATATCCAGATGGTGAGCAAGGATCCAGGTAACTGAGCGTTCACTGTGTTCTCTGGGGAGAGTGGCAGGGCACAGGCACTAACTAATTTTGAGTCAAAGTTGAGTGATTCGGTTACCTGGAACTGAGCCACAGATTTGTGTGTTGTCCAAGCTTATTTCATTTTCTCACCCTGTTTATTTCTAGTTAAAAGTAAAGTAAGTCCAAGACTGGACATGGCAAGTAAGGCCCTCACCTCAGGCAGATAATTTAAGGGGGCATAAAAAACTAAGGAACTGTGGGGAAAATGGAACTTTCTGACCAGGTTTTCTACCTGGCCTTAAGAGCACACATTGTGTGCTATTATATAACAAGAGCATGTTTGCACATTCATGGTACATTTACCAGTGACAGAGCCCCCAGTCAGTCATGGGATTGCTGGCCCAGGGGAGGGGTGGAAAGGAACACCAATTATCTCCTCTTCTCAGTTCTGGTACATAATTGGTCAGGTGTCTGCCAGTCACCAGGGACCCACCCACAGGGTTGCTCCTGGTGCTTAGGAGCACGGAGCTGGGCTGCCGCTGCGGAGAAGGAGCCATGGAGCTCCATTGCTCCTGGAGGATTAGGCCCAAGCATGGGAGTGGGGAGCGAGGAGAAACTGAGACCTACTGCCTAGAGGATTAAGCTCTTGCTGGGGAGCAGAACGTGCAACCGGCCTGGGGAGCACATTCGAGCCAGCTGCGTGTACCAAGCTGCCTGTGACCGCCATGGAAATAAATGTGGTAACTCAGTTTACCCTCGAGTTTTTGCCCTTGCCTTTCTTTGTTCTCTTCGAATTCAAAGAGAACCTTCCCAGGGCAGGGAAACCTCTCCTCCTGGATCTGTAGGAATCATGATTAGTAATACACACACACACACACACACACACACACACACATTTGAGGTGAAGTCACATAACATAGAATGAAGCATTTTAAAGTGAACAATTCATTGACATTAGGTACATTCACAATGTTGTGCAACCACCACCTTAATCTAGGATTCTTCCTGGTTTTCCTGTTGGATGTGCTTGAGATGAGTTAACTGCTTGGTTAATTTTTTTGCAGTTGTCTTTGGCCTTCTTAACTTTTTTTCCCTTAACGTTGTAAGGTGTTGCAGCATGACATATTTTGTAAGCTGCAGAAAGTTCATCTACTAAACACAGGCAGAAATGAAATGACTAATTCTGGTAAATGAAAACTTAAAGAGCTTTAAGGTTCCACGTGTGAAAATTACAGCTTGAAGATCACAGAAGGCTCCAAATGAAAACCCACAAGGTAGGTTAACAGCTGGAGTAGGCCTCCTAGAGAGTGGGTGGGAAGCATGTAGGGGGACTTTGAACATCACAAAGGGGTTGTCTGGCTTAAATGGAAGTTTTCAATTGTAATGATTACAATTTCTAAAGTCACTTATAACAGAGTGCTTTCCCTCTGGGCTAATGATGCATGTAAATAGGACCAGAAGGAAGGGCACTTAAGAAACAATGAACTAGCCTCTTACGGCATGAACACAAACACACAGAAAGTTATAAATCATTCATTCAGTGAATGTATCTTGAGCCCCCAGCAGGAGCCAAGCCTGGTATCAGGTGCTGGGGAAAGTGAAGAGGAGCAGAATCTGCTCCCAAATTATGCCTCTTTGACATGAGGATTATTTTAGGCTGATTATTTTTAAGAAATAGCAGACATAGGAGAAGCTCTTGAAAACCTAATAGAAGTTACCCTTTAATAAGAGGCATTCACATTTATAAGGGAAATCCCCATTTCTAAGGGTGTCTCCCTCTTAGTTATTAATGGAGAAGACACTGACTTAAATCTGTATGATAACTATACCCTTGCTTGTGTTTTGCCTGATAAACCATCTGTAACTCCAACCCCCCCACCCCCCGTGAACATCTTTTGTCTTTAGCTTGAGATGGTATTTAAGGTGGTAGCTTGGGCCATTTTGGGGAGTTACTCAGTGTTCCTGGGTCTCTTCCATATATACAGGACACATACACATTATTGAACACATACACACATACACAAGATAAATTTTAGCTGAAATAAGCAGGTGAAGAGAGGCAACAAAGGGCCAGGTAGTTTATTTGAATGCCACTCCCGGGTGATGTTCTCTGGCCTGGGTATTACAGGCCGGGGAAGTCACACCCAGTCAGCGAGGTGGGGGCTTATAAGGGATTAGGAGGGGGAGGAGTGGGCAAGCTGTCCTAGGGGGTGTGGAGAGGTATGATTGGCTAAAGGTGACATAATAGACAACTACAAACTATTTTTCCTTCCAAGAGGGAGGAGGCTGACATCCGGGTCTTAGTTGGCACATCAGAAGGATGGAATTCAGGAAGAGCTGTCCCCTTTCCATATAAGGCACAGACCTTGGGGTCTGGTCCATTCTCCCCCTATGGCATCTCTCTGTTCTGTTTGCATGTCCTTGTTTTTCCTTCCTCCAGCCTAACAGTTTGTTTTTCTCCTGTTGATCTGTTTTACAATACTGTGGGGTCTCAGCCAAGAACCTAGAAGGATGGAGGGAAAATTATTTTTCCTCCCCTACAGAAGCAACTTACCTTCTTGTGCCTAACTGTCTCTTGGGGGAAGCAGGCTTTAAACAAATCGGTAGGAAAATAAGTATTTAATTATAATTGTGATATGTTCAAGAGAGTGTCAAAGAATAAGGACAGAGTGTGAGAGAGTGTAAAATGGAGTCCTATAACAAACTGGGGAGCCAGGGAAGGCCTCTTGAGCAAAACTGTTAAATATTTTACCCAGGTTTGTGCCTGTGATCACAATATGAAGACACTGGGCCAAGGGCTACAAAATGCAGTGGGGTGTGGTTTCCCTAACTGGCAGGGCAGTTGAGTGAGTGAGGACGCTGTTTCAATGGTCTCATCAGCTGCTTGGTATCAACCTACACTTTTACTTGATTAAAATTTGGACTAGACTGACATTGAAGGGATTCGTTGTTTTTTGTTTTCTCCATAAGCCATCTAGTTCCATCCTTATTTGTCGTGTGTGTGGCTCTATTTCTTACTTGGACTTGCTATTTTGTTGAAATAAAAAAGACTAGTGACGAGCATCCTGTGCTCTCTGAAGGTCAGTGCCAGACATTGGTAGTCACCTAGAACTGAGTTTCTACAACCAAAAGATGTTGTACAAGGTGAGGTGAGATATGCAGAAACATCACCTGAAGCCCAGAGTTGATGAGGTACTACCTGTGTGGTTCCTTTCTGTGCTGGTGTCTCTGGAGTTTGATTAGATTTCTTGAATGGAACAAGAAAGAGTTAAGGTGATGTAGCAGCCACATGTCTGAATGCTCTCTCCCTAGGTTGCCAAACCCTTCTGAGAGTCTCCCAACTACTTCTTCCATTTTACTTGTGAATCAGGAGATGTGGGATTCTTTCAGTCTGGAAAATGGAATCACACTTGTGTTCTTAGGGTCAACGGTATGGAAGTAGGCTGTAGAGTCACATTAATCTGAGTGGCACAGTCAGTGCTTGTCAGAAAGTTAGCTTCTGGGAAGGGGCTGGCCCCTAGTTCTTCCTAAGGTAGACTTTTGTTGTGTAATACCATTATTTGACTTGTATTTACTTTTGAATATGGGTTTATTAATAAGCCAAATGAAATAATGGCCTGCCATTTTGCCCATATCATTATTTCTTCTATTCTTAGAGAAAGTCAATAGGTGAAGTGTTAGGCAGAAATATAGATATGAGCAGGGTGGAGAGAGAATAAGGCCAGTAAAGTCCACTAAAAGGGGCTCAAAGAGTTAACCAGATAAAACTAGAGAGCCAGAAAAGACTCACAGAGTTAATGAGTTCATCAGTTGAAGCTCCAAAGGCCAGGAGTAACTTGGGATGTCCAGATATTCCCCAGATAAAGAAAAGTATCTGAGTGCAGCCCGTGTCTTCATTGTGTTATTTAGATCATGTCATTGTAAGATTTACTTTAGCCTGCTGAAAGGCCCTGCTTATTCTTTAACTTAACCTATATGCTGTTTTTTCCCTCCTCCTCCAGCCCATAATCAGGTAATTTTGTAACCAGGGCTGGAGACAAGCATCATGGTTAACTTTTCCTGCCTATGATGAACAAAGCCCAGAGATATAAACAGTATCGTAAGAACAGGAAAGAGTCCATCTTAAAGCTAAGATTCCATTTTTATTTTTATTTTGGTATCGTTAATGTACAATTACATGAGCAACGTTATGGTTACTAGACTCCCCCCATTATCAAGTCCCCACCACATACCCCATTACAGTCACTGTCCATCAGTGTAGTAAGATGCTGTAGAGTCACTACTTGTCTTCTCTGTGTTGTACAGCACTCCCCGTGCCCCTCGCCCACATTATGCATGCTAATTGTAATGCCCCCTTTTCCCCTTATTCCTCCCTTCCCACCCATTCTCCCCAGTCCCTTTCCCTTTGGTAACTGTTAGTTCATTCTTGTAAGATTCCATTTTAAAAGCCAGTAAGTTAGGAAGTAAGATTCCTAACTTATTCTTTTGCAAACCGAAAATAACTCAGCCTGCCTTGGGGGGCAGGGCAGATGGTCTTGATTGATATGTTCCCAGGGGGAATCTGCTATCCTGGGGAAGAGCTGTATCAGTAGATTTCTTGTGTTAAGTTAATTTTGCAGAATTACCTGGAAGACTGAGAATAGAGAGGAGACATGGTGTCTCTCACCAGAGATAAGCATCTTGAGACCACTTGACAAGTTTACACCCCCTAGCCCTTTGTCACATTCCTGAAAAATCCTTAAAAGAGGGAACTTCCAATATTAAGGGCACCTATTCTCTGAAGACACCTGTGTTTTTTCTCTCTTTAAGTGTGTAACTTCAAATAAAACTTTTATTCTGCTTCACTACTTTGTCTCTGCCCTTCAATTCTTTGTTGCAGTGGGGACGAGGAAAACACACTCAACCGCCCCCCACCCCCAACAGAAGCATTTTGAAGAACAGTTCTAGTGTGACTCACACTGCCCTTGTACAAAAGTAATTGGATTTCCCTTTTTCTTTGGGTTTTACTAAACATCAAAATTTGGGGGTGGTGGTCTAGTGGACACCCTACCGTATATTGACATAGGTTTTCCATGTAGAAAATACTAGACTTTGATGGAAATATAAATTAAATCTGTGAGCTACTTTTTGCCATGCAGCTTTTGCTCTTTAAGGTTTATACCCACAAATATCTTTGAAAGATGGTGGCAAATTCTGTAGACCCCATTCAATTTTATCTCTCCCAAATGGGACCCACTTTCCACCCCTGTATTCTTTGGTATTACCTAGTTCCTCTGAGAACACTACCAGTGAAAACCTGGGAATTCAGTTGGCACTCTGCTTATATAGTTTATTTTTTGAGCTTTACTGTCAAGTTTTAAACTTCCCATCTTTTTCTTGAACAAGAAATTTTTTTTGCAAATAGATATATTGCGGTGATTAGTTTTCTCAGGGAGAGACTATGCTTTCAGTTAATATGCTGGGAATATTCAGTAGAGTTAAGATAAAAGCCTAGAACCTGGGGATTGGAACCAGTGGCCCAGGAAACTCAACTTTTCCATGCTGAGTCACCCTCTCAAGGGTATTATCTTAACTTGTCACATGCCACAGGCCAGGAGGATGAGGCTACACGTTATAGTGATTACTTCTGTAGAGAATTTAACAGCAAGAGATCAATATTTTTAATTTAGATTATCTACATTTCTGGAGTAGTAATTTCTGAATTTATTTGCACAAGCATATATTGTTTTAATGTCAACTTGAGAAGTATGAAGACCGAGAAGTAATTTTCAATCCAGAATGTGACTCCTTTTTGTCCCCATTGATTCATTCCAGGAAGATTTCAGATAAGATGAGAGTTTTTCATGGTTTTTGCTTTGAAAACACCTTTCCTTTTCTGAATGAATATCACAACTCCATGGTTTTATCTCATAAACTAGTTATTTTTCTTCTGTTTTCCGTTATCTTGCCTTTGTTTCAACCTTCCTAAGCTTAAGTCCTAACTTGGATTGAAGAGAGATCTGTTTTAACTTTTTTAAGAAAAAAAAAGTGAAGAGCAGGACTCACATTTTTACATTCTTTATTGTTCAAAGGAAACACTATCTCAAGCTGGGGTGCGGGAGTGGGGGTTGGCAAACTATAGCCGCAGGATAAATCCCATCTATTTTGTAAATAAAGTTTTATTGGCACATAGCTGCATACAGTCTTTTACAGATTGTCTATGGCTGCTTTCCTGCTACAATGGCAGAGTTGAGTAGTAGGCAGAAACATTTACTATCTGATGCTTTACAGAGAA